AAAAAAGAAAAAAAAAAAAAAAAAAAAGAAGAAGAAGAGCCATGATGGCAAAAAAGCATATGAGATATTTAACATAATTAGCCACCACAGAAATGCAAATTAAAGGTACAATGAGATATTAGTATATGTATGAGTCAGCTTTCTAGTTGCAGAGACACAATATTAGACATTCAAGGAGAGGCTTAATTTGGTGACAGTTTCAGGGGATCCAGTCCATGGGTCAGCTGGCCCTAAGGCAGACACATCATGGCACAAGGGCGGGATGCCTCCATGACCCCCTAGACTCATCCGAAGTATGCTTTGCAAATACCCCAGGCAGTGTCCCCAGCCATCATACAATGCAGTCATCATAAGTGCTAAAAGTGACAACACCAAATGCTAGTGAAAATGCTGTAAAACTAAATCCCTTGTACAGCACTGATGAGAATATAAAATGGTATAGCCATGTTAGAAAACAGGCTAGTAATTTCTTAAATTCTCAATATACAATTACTATATGCAGTCAGAAAATACACACGGGCATGTATCTTGAGGAATAAAGACTTCCACACACACACACACACACACACACACACACACAATCTGTAAATAAATGTTTGCAGCAGCTTTACTCCTAACAGCTAATAGCTGGAAACAACCCTGAAAACCAACTGGTATATCCATACCATGGAATACTGCTGAGCAATAAACAGGAACAAATAACTTAAACATATAACAACCTGGAACAACCTCTAGATACTGTGCTAAGTGACAAATGTCAACTGCTAAAGATTATATATGAGTCCATTTGTGCAAAAGTTTTGAAATGACAAAATCTTTTAAATTTTTTTTGGGGGGGTACCAGGGATCAAACTCAGGACCTTGCACTTGCAAGGCAGGTGGTGGCACTACTGAGCTAAATCCCTGGCCCCCCCGTTTTTAAACTTTTAAAAATTTGTATCAGTACATATTTGCAATACATGCAGTTTACGATCATCTTGGGGAGTGGGTATGTACATAATACAGCTCCTTTTTTAAAAATTCCCCTCCCCCTCCCACCCTTATTCTCTTGGACTACTTCCCTACAAAAGAGATTTATCAGGTGTGGTCTAGACCAGCGCGGCTGCAGGGAGATCCCAGCTAGGGATCTGCATGCATCCCAGAGGCTGGGGCAAACCTGCCCAGCCACAGCCTGCCTAGGAAAGAGCTGCAGAGGTTCAAAAGCTTCAGTTAGAGGCCTGCCCCACAGCATCAGTAGCTTGAACCTAGGAATTGCTGTACTGGTGAAAAATACTGGGTGAGCAAAAAGTTGTCTCAATAAAGGCACAGCAGGCTGCATCTCTTGAAATGAAAAGACATGGAAACAAGACTCAAAATCAGACTTCCAGATCACCTAAGGCAACCCCAAAGGAAAATGACATGGAACAATCTGATAATCACCTGGACTCGCTGAACTGGCTCCAAAAGTGGATCTGGAAAAAATGAAGTCAGAAATAATTTCTTAAATAACAGCAGAGATTGTGCCCACAGTGCAAGATATGACTGATAAATATAGAGTGGACACGGATTAAAGAAATAGACAAGCTGAGGAACATGATGGAATCCCAACATAGGAAGCAAATGGAATCCATAAAACAGTTACAGACAGATGTCCAGGATTTAAAAACTCCATTGAAAGTTTATGCAGCAGAATGAGCCAATGTAAAGATAGAATTTCAGATACATTAGATAGATTTGCAATTAGTGAAGAGGAAAAGAAAATATTCTTTAAATAGTAAGGGACCATGAGAAATCAATTCAACAGCTGCTAGATGATGCAAAGAAGAATAAGATAAAATTGATCAGAGCTAATGAAACAGGACAGTGCAGAGGACATAAAAAAACCGTTCACAGAATGGCAGAAAACTTCCCAAGCAGGGGGAAAAAATTTGACATACAGACAAGTGAGGAATATAGAACTCCAACTAGCCATGATAAAAAAAAATCTACACATAGGCATAAAATAGTTAAGACTCCAGAAATCCAAAGGAAGAACAAAATTCTATAAGCACTCAGAGAAAAGAAACAAATAACACACAAAGGAAAGCCTATCAGAATCTTATCAGACTTCTCAACACAAACCCTCAAGGCAAGACCTTTGAGTGAAGTATTTCAAGCCCTAAAGGGAAACAGCCTCCAACCCAGTTTGATGTACCCTGCAAAACTATCTTTAAAAATTGATGTAGAAATAAGATACTTTCATGACAAAGAACACCTTAGGAAATTCATGAATATCAAACCAGAACTCCAATAAATTTTAAATAATATCCTAGGAAATGACAATGAGGATAACAACCCCAGGAAGCCCAGCAGAATGAATCCATCAGGTACAACAAGAAATTAAACACAAAGGGGGAGAGTCTAACAAAAAGAAAAAGTCATGACGAGGATAAATCAATATATATCAGTTATAACCATCACGTTAATGGTCTCAACTCACCAATCAAAAGAAATAGACTGGCAGAATGGGTCAAGAAGCAAGATCCAAAAATATGCTGAATACAAGAAACACAATTCAAAAAGAAACTCACAGACTGAAAGTTAAGGGGTGGAAAACAATACTCCATGTAACAGGAATCCAAAAAAAGCAGGAGTAGCTATCCTCTTTGCAGATCACATGGATTTCAAACCAGCACTGATTAAGAGAGACAAAGAAGGACAATACACCCTTGTAAAGGGAACAATCCAAAATGAAGAGATGATGATCATAAATATATATGTACCAAACACTAGTGCACCTTACTATACTTACTTATACCTACTATAGTTTACTTATACTATACCTACTGAGAGAGAAAAGGGGCAATCAATTCCTTTTACGATAGTATCCAAAAAAATTGAAATAACCAGGAATCAACCTAATAGAAGAAATCAAAGATCTCTACTCTGAAAACTACAGCACTCTGAAAAAAGAGATTGAAGAGGATATCCAGAAATGGAAAGACATTCCTTGCTCCTAGGTTGAAAGAATCAACATAGTGAAAATGGCCATACTGCCAAAACTGCTATATAGATTCAATGTAGTCCCAGTTGAAATACCAGCAGCCTATTTCACAGACCTTGAGAAAACAATCCAAACATTCATTTGGAACGAGAAGAGATGTAGCACAGCAAAAGCAATTGTAGGCAATAAAGACAAGGTAGGGGGGTATCACAATCCCAAACTTGAAATTATATTACAAAGCTACTGTGATAAAAACAGCATGGTACTGGCAAAAAAAACAGACCCAAGGACCAGTGGAACAGCTAGAAGATGTAGAAACAACTGAAGACACACTCAGCCACCTTATCTTTGACAAAGGAGCCAAACACCCTCACTGGAGGAAAGATAGCGTCTTTAAGAAATGGTGCTGGAAAAACTGGGTTTCAACCTGCCAAAGATTAAAACCACATCCTTATCTTTCACCATGCACTGAACTAAACTCAAAATGGATTAAAGCTCTAAATATTAAAATAGAAACACTAAACTGGCTGGAAGAGAGGTTAGGTAGAACTCTTGAAGACACTGGTGTAGGAAAAGATTTTATGAACAAAACTTCAGCTGCCCATGAACTAGCACAATCAACAAGTGGTATTTCTTCTTACTGAAAAGCTTCTACACAGCAACAGAAACCACCAACAGCATGAAGAGACAACCTGCAATGTGCGAAAAAATTTTCACCAGCTGTTCCTCAGAAAAAGGGCTACTATCTAGAGTATATGAAAAACTTTAAAAAATCAGACCTCCTAAATTTAAAGACTGAATCCAAAAATGTGCATCTGAAATGAACAGACATTTCTCACACAAAGAAGCAGAAACAGCAAATAAACACATGAAAAAATGTTCACTATTACTGGTAATTTGAGAGATGCAAATGAAAACAACGCTGAGATTCCACCTCACCTCATAAAGAATGGCTGCTATCAAGAAATCAACCAATGACAAATGATGGTGGGGCTTTGGGGAAAAAGAAACACTGCTCCACTGCTGGTGGGAGTGCAGACTGGTGCAGCCACTGCGGAAAGCAGAAGGGAGATACCTCAGAGAACTGTAAGTGGAAGTCCCACTTGACCCAGCTATTCTCCTGGGTATCTTCCCTAAAGAATTAAAAGACTCGTACCATAGTGATATTTGTGCACCCATGTTCACAGCAGCACAACTTGTAATAGCTAAGACTTGGAAGCAGCCCAAATGTCCACCAACAGGAGACTGGACGAAGAAAATGTGGGGTTTTTTAATAAAAAGGAATACTACTCAACCATAAAAAATGAGAAATTAGAGACATTTATAGCTAAATGGATGCACATCAAGGTGATATTCTTAATTGATATAAATAGGACACACATGTAAATATCTAATGGTTTCTCTAGTGTAAATAAGGATTAAGATGTAAAATAGGTAATGTGAAATAGGAAAGGATAAAGTCGAAGACAGAATGGGAGGGGTAGGGGAAGAAAAGAAGGGAATGGAATAAATATGAGAAAATGAAAAATAATGGGAACAAAAGACTTTGTAGATAGGGAGGGAGGGGGTTGAAGTGGGGGGGGGGGGGGGGGGGGGAATAAGAACCAAGATCGATTATATAAAGGTACAAATTTCCAGTGATGAATATCAATATATTATGTACATTAAATGTACCAATAAAATTAATTTTTTAAAAAAGAGATCTATCCCCTTCTCCCCTTGTATCCATCCTTTAATATTCTCTTTGTCTGTGCTTTGCTTCACTCAAATGAGATATCATACGGTATTTACCTGTGTCTGGTTTACGTCACTCAACATTCTATTTCCAGGTGCATTCATTTTCCTACAAATGTCTGAATCTTTTGAAATGACAAAATCTTATAAACTGAGTAGGTGTCAGGGGAAAGAAGTGAGAGAGAGCACAATAAAACTGGTACTGCTCTACAGGGAAACAGAAAGACTTCTTATACTGATAGAACTATTCTTTATTTTAATCATTATCAATGTCCGTCTCCTGGTTGTGACCTTCACTTATTTTTTTAAGATTTTATTATCACTGTGGAAGTTGGAAAAAGAGTAAATCAGACTTATTTGTACATTTTTCTTAAAATTGCATGTGATCTACAATTATCTCAAAATAAAGTTTAATTTCAAAAGAAAGCTACTCCCTTTTTTTCTACATAAAAACCTTGAAGTATAAAAGTTACCAAAGAGTTATAAGGAAAGAAGTACTTCCCTTTTTCTGCTTCAATACCATGGACTTCCTGCAATTAGAAATTCTTTCATATGTAAGAGTAAAATTAGAAACTATGTCATGACTATAAAAATAGAATCTCCTTACCAGTGTTCCCTGGAAGTTTCCTGGCTTCTTATACCATACTTTGTTGCCCCCCTCTTCACAGACACACATATGATCCATGAGTCCATTACTATATACAAAACATTTTCCTAAGAAAGAAGGTTCCAACAGTCAATAATTACTTCCCACAACTATTATTTTTACAGACAAATCAAAAGTACCAGGAAATTTCTGGAAGAAAAATAACCTTAAAAAAGAAAAACAACTCCGTTTTCTAGAATGAAGCATACATAATTAATTCAGTTTGCTTAATAATATGAAACTGAGTTACACACTCATAGCTCAGAAAAGTAATGTAAATTAGAAGATTTTATGCTTTCAGAACTGTAGTAAGAAAGTGTTTACAGAAAAAAATTCTCTTTTATCTTTTACCTCCATTTTTATTTATCCTTTAATTTTTTACGGTACATGTTTGTAGTTTATAATGATTGCTTCTCAGCCTCTTGGCTAAGAACAAGTGTAGCACATAATGATTACATTCATTGTGGGGAGTCGGTACGTGTACATGATATTTCTTAATTCTTTTTGTAATCCCTCCCTTTTCCCCTCCTCCTCTCTGTATCTCTTGGACCCCTTGTTCAAAATACATGTTTACACACACATATCTACATTTTTAAAACACATGTGTGTAGTATATGATGCTCATGTTCCTCACAGGGCCGTGGTGAATGCACACACAGCACTTCACAATTCCTCTTTCCCCTTTCCATCTCTTGGTTCCTGTCCCACAGAAATAAATTCCTTTAGGTTATTTTAGGGAATAAAGAGGTATAATAGAAGAGGAAATCCTGTTTTGAAGAGTACACAGATGCATGTCTTTTATATGTACTTGTCCAGAAAAAGTTCTGTATACACAAGAGAAATTCAGGCAAAAATCTATCATGAACAGTAAGTGTTCTTCTCAATGTAAACAATGCTATGTTCTGTCCTTTTCTCAGGTTCTATGCTGCTCATCGAGCCCTCTGTCAGCTCCTACCTAGCTTACTACAACTTTCACCAATGCCGACTCTTCCCTTTGTTCTTGTGTTTATGAAGAAGTGCCCAGTGTCAGTCAGGCTGGCCTTGCACTCACCACCCCAGCCTCGGCCTACTGGGTGCTGGGATTACAGGTTTGCACCACCACACCCCGCCAACTTCTTCCTCACAGGGCTCACTCTTGCTACCAAAATTGTCTACTCTGTCGAGTTTCCTAATAAATAATTCTATGCATCTCTTTCTGCTTCTATGTAGGAAATTACCTTTTTAGGCTGTTTCTATACTTCGTCTATCCTTTTATTAGTAACATAGTAATTGTTTTCATTCCATCTTACTGCTATGCATTCAATATGTAAGCATTTTTATCTGAGCCTATTTTCTCCTACTCTAGTATGGCTTCTGCTACATAAGTACATTTCAAATACCATTCTTTATAAAAGTTTTATAAGACTGCTTGTGGAACAGTTATTTTTGCCCATCTTATGAAATATATATAATTATTGGCCAGGTATGGTGTTGCATACCTGTAATCCCAATATTGGGAGGCTGAGCTCGGAGGATCAATGTGAGTTTGAGGCCAACTGGGGCTACATAGTGAGTTCAAGGCCAGCCTGAATAACATAGCAAAATCCTGTCTCAAAAACACCCCTCCACAAAAATACACATACATAAATATATAAAATTACCCATCTCACATTCTGCATAAACTGTTGGACTTAACCAAATTGCTTGATAAAATATTAAATTTCCAATCAATTGGGTTTAAGCAATAGATGAACAGTTGTCATGAATGTTCCAGAATAGAAAGAATTCTTGGACAAAGGTAGGAATGAGATTCCAAGGTCCCTTACAAGCATAACTGTATTCTTATCTGAGGGATAAAACCAAATATATAATATTTCTCTGCTTTAATTAGTAGAGCATAAAGCATTTTATGTGCTATATACTTAGCTTTTTCTGCCTATACATTATCAGGTACAACTAAAGAGTAAAAAAAAATATTCCCACATATGGTACCAATTTTACAAAAAATATTTAACTTAACAAAAAATATTTAAATAAAAAGAAAAAAATGTGAGATAATGAAAAGATGAAAATAAAGTGTTTGTAGATGGGGAGGGGAGGAGGGGGTGAAGGGAGGGCAGGGGTAAGGGGAAAAATGAAAATCAAAACTTGTCATGTAGAAGTACAAGATCCCAACAATAAATGTAACTGTACTATATCCCTAAAATGTACCAATAAACTCAATTAAAGCTGGAAAAAAAATAAATAAATGTAGTAACACTTACAAATCTAATGTGACATGTTCAGGATACCTGTCATACTTACCTTTGGGGAATGGGTTGTTCTGGGCTTGGAGTCGAATTTTCACAACATCCAGTGGCGTCACTATAAAGATAAATAAGTTTCAATTAGCACGTGATATTTGTAAATTGTGTGTTCAAAAGCCACAAAATATACTGATTCATACTTATCCTCATGGCTCCATCATGGTACAGCTATTTATCTAAAGAAGTCTTGAGAGGTAACATTTTTATTTTTTGTCCCTGAATTTTATTTAAAGAGGATCAGTGAAAGGATGTAATTACTTATCTCACAGTTACTAATCTGCCATTTATAATATTTCTACAACTATAATTTCAATAGCTTTAAAACAGTGTTTATAAGAAAACACACTGTTTAAAGTAAGAAATTAAAGTTCCAAAAGTCTACTTAAATATTTGATAATATAGTATTATAAACAATCAATAATAAAACAATATTAGTCTTCCTAATCTGTTTAATTTATTTGCATCAAATAATAGCGTGGGAAATGAAAACTTGACTAAACTAGATATAAATTATCTTCAGCATAATATTGTATCATTCCATTTGGGAAGAGCAAACAAAGACAAATTGTTTTAATTTGAATGCTACATTTTATCTGAGCAAGAAAAAAGGCCAAAATAGTTCCAAGAAAACTATTCTTCATCTGGGCTGGGGATTTAGCTGCCATCTGCCTTACAAGCACAAGGTCTTCAGTGCCATCCCCAGTACCAAAAAAAAAAAAAAAAAAAAAAACCCAAAAAATAAAAAACCCCAAAACTATTCATCTAAGAATGAGGAAGTCATACTGGATGATATGTAAGGCTTTTGTGATCCTAAATTTCTGACCTGAAGAAACTACAAAGCAATTACTTTGTTCTAATTATTATTTATCTAATTTAAATAAATAATTCAATTTAAAATCATTAATACTACCCTATCACCTATTTTATTTGGCCATGAGAAATTTACTATAATAAATAGCAAATTGTGATCCACAGAAATGTAAGATTTGCACTGTTCTTGCAATTAAAGTAAAATATTATTTGACTTTTGTTGCTGTTAATTATTGTCCAAATTCTGTTTTATCCACTGTTAATATTTTATTCCATCTTACTACTATTTTAAAAGAGATAACAGAATTATAAGTCTAATGTTGCTAGGAACTTCCAAGAACTGTTCTAAACCCTTAATTTTAGATGAAAAATTTGAAGTTAAGGGCTGGGGATTTAGCTCAGTGGTTCGGCCACCTGCCTCTCAAGTGCAAGGACCCAAGTTCGATCCCCAGTACCAAAAAAAACTTTTTTTTGAAGTTAAGAGATAAGTAAGTACTGTCCCCAAGTGTATTTATCCTTAGATTGGCAAAAACTAAAATTCCAGACTTTTGATTTTCTGTGTCAAGGGTTCTTTCCATATTATCACTCTGTTGAAGAATGGGCTGGTATTATCGTGATAAGTAATGATTATATTACTTCAAATGTAATAAAACTCAAATGGAATCACGGATCATTTAAGGTTACATAATCTATATCAGCAACAAGTTTTACCCATTAGTGTTGTCAAGATAGCTCCAGTGCAAGAGGCGAGCATTTGCTGAAGAGGCGTCACTTTGACCATATGTGGGCCATCTGACTCAGGATCCATATTTTTAACTAATTGAAGAAAAACCTTGTAAACAAAAATAAGTTTTTAAAAAGTTTAATGGCAACTGACTGCTAAAAGTTAAATTATAAAAACAGCAATCACTTTATATCAAAGCACCCACTATCAAAAGAAAATACATAATCTCTACAGACAGAGGACCCACACAACTGTCATTAACAGAACACCTCATCTGATCTTCTACAAGGAGCAACAGACTTCAACTATGCTGTGTGGGTAGGAACACATCTGTAAGACTACTAAGAAACAGTTAAAGAAACAAGACTCTGACTAGTCACAGAATTTATGAACACTACCCAGATACTCTCTGTAATCTAATACAGAGTATCATTAAATATAGCACTATTTTAAATGCATAGCAAAAGCTGTTGCATGGGTATAAAATAAAAACAGAACCTGAATAAGAAGCAGTATCTTACAAAAATTTAATGAGAAAAGCAACATATATATTTTAAGTCATAAAATACTAAATAAAAATTCAGAAAATACTGTATAAAATTACTTATTCTGTAAACTCACTAATCTAAAAATATTCATTAGAAAAGGTGTCACCTTTCCAAATGTCTGTGTATACACATGCATATGTGTGTGTGTGTGTGTGTGTGTGTGTGTATGCACGTGTATGTGTGGTCACAGACTATATCTAACTAAATACATTAACCAAACATATCATACATTCATGTACCTGTGTACATGTCACTTTTCTCACAAAAACAGGTTTAACATGCATGCTTGTTTAGTAGTCTGCTTTGATACTCATGAATATATAGTATAAACATTGTACCTCTATATATTTTAATGCTTGCACAGGTTTAATTATATTTGTATTTAAACAGTATCATCTTTTAGATACTCAAGTTGTTGCCAGTTTCTCTACTGCAAAACATTCTGATATAACAGCCTTATCCATAAATCTTCCTGAATCTTCCTACAATTACTCTGCAAAATTAAGACTGATGGGCCAAACTATGTAAAAACTTGCTAAAAACTGCCAAAATCTTTCCAGAAAAATTAGACTAATTTATACATCCACTGGCAACATATGAGTTCCTACTGATCCACACTTCCAAACACTTCCTATTTATCATTGTTCTCTTAGTCCTTGATTGCATATATCATGCTGCTTCACTCTAAATACTTCAATATATTTTCTTATATAAACACAGTACAATTAGCAAATCCAGGAAATTCAATTTTGATCCAATACACTTCATATTCTAGTTTTTCTTCAGTTATATCAATAATGCCCTTTATAAAAGCAAATGATAATTCTATTATTTCTTTACATTTTCATTATGTACTTACCTAGTTTATATTTTTTCAATTCTGTGCTCCAATATTTTATTTTTTGTAACATCAGTAGCTGAAATCCTGTAATGAAAAAACGTAAAAGTAATTGCCTCACCTTTACGAAAAACATAGGAAAGGAATAAGTCTAAAAGAAATATATGCAAACTTGAAATCTAACTTTTTTTTTTTTGGTACTGGGGATTGAACTCGGGTCCTTGAGCTTGCAAGGCAGGCCACCGAACCGCTGAGCTAAATCCCAGCCCAAAATCTAACTTTTAATTCACAGAAAATTCAGAGCATAGAGTCAATGGATGCCATAAAATAGCAGATGTCATACTATTCTACACTACAGACCTGGTGCCTCAAAGTAAGAGAAATGTTCCAGATTAAAGGGACCTGAAGAGAATCAACCCAAAGCATCCTACTTTAAAAAATAAATTTTAAAAATCCAATTTGAAGGTGACTAGACAAACCTGAACATGAGCTAGTATTAGACAGTTTAATATGAACTAATATTTTTTCAAAATTTTGTGGAGATAATGGTACTGTTATAGTTATATAAGAAGTATTTTTTAAAGAAACATTCATTCTGAAGAATTAACGGTTGAAATGATAGCTACAGTTCACAATACTTCAAAAAGAAAGTATACTAAGAAGTTATTTGACACATCTAGGTGAAAAATACACCATATCATTATTCTTTATTTTCTTATATTTATAAAAACTTGCACAATAAAAATTTTAAGTTCCTGAAATGTATATGGATTCTTCAGGTCTAAGAATAATAATCTCCTAACATTCATCTATATGAACACAGTTCTTTCAAGGAGGAAAATAACATGTATACACTAGCACACAGGTACACTCTTAAAAACCCCAACTGTGCTTTATGTTGACACCTATCCCAGAAAAGCTGCAACCTAAATATGTTCACCTGAAATGAAAGCAAAAAAACCTGCTTCATTTCTCAAAATTACTTAAAATGTAAGGGAAATAAGCCAGAAATTCAGATGTAACTTTAAAAAATAGTTATTGGTCTTTTTTTATTATTTATAATGTGTTATTTTAGAGAAATAAATTGCCTCAACAGTCTCCTGAAAATCATAATATACATCTACATGTGAGATTTGAAAAATGAATCTCGTTCCTGATTTATCTGGAGAATAATATGAAAAAAGGCAAAATATAAAAATAGATTTAGGAGTAAATTAGAAAAAAAGGGAAATGATCATCTTAGTGTATTATTTAGAACTTGTTTCTCCACTGCTTTAAACACCCTCCTTGTCAACCTCCTTTACCTTTCTTCTCTTCATTTTTCTATTCTTCCAGGTGCCAGGTACTATCCCTTATTCAGAGAACACACAGTCCAGAGGGAGAGGCCACTGTAACAGATTTATTCCTCTAGCTTTCTTGAATTCTTATAAAGAAATACTACAAAGAATTAGCTACCTCCCTTAACTCCCCATGAAATTTCTCTTTTCTATGAACTATTCCGCTTTTACACTTTTAAATTAGTTTTAATGGCTTGCTATACCTCCAGACTCAGTGAAGAGATCAATGGAAAAGCTTTAGTAAAAGGATTAGGGGAAGACAGAAGATAGAATAGCATCTACTTAGTAGCATCAAAAATCTTAATATTGACTGGTGATTTAGCTCGGTGGTTCTGACACCTGCCTCACAAGAACAAGGTTCTAAGATTGATCCCTGTACCAAAAAAAAAAAAACAAACCACTTAGTATTTCCCAATGGAAAGTATGTTATTACATTGTAGTCATGATTTATCTTCCTCTGATCTATACCGATGTTAAATATCTCTGCACATTTTTATTAGTTTGTAGAAATTGTATCTTATTTCAGTCTTTCAATTTTTTAAAGAATATTTTGACGATGCAAAGTTTTCTGCTATTCTTTTCTTTTGGTGCTCAAGTCACTCAATATGAAATATTCCACAAAAAATTAAGTATAAACCCTCTTCTACTGAAAATCTCTAGAATATTTTCATCTTCTGTGACTTAAAATTTTATACCTACTAAACCATTTTCTTTTTCATCCAAGCCCTGGCAACTGCCCTCATAGTTTCTACTTCTATGAGTTTAATTACATTAAATATGTCATCATTGGAACCACACAGTGTAATATTTTTAGAACTGGCTTATTCCACATAACATAATGTACTCCAAGTTCATCAATGAGCTAACAGACAAACTGTATTTCCTACTTTAAGGGTGAATAACATTCCAACACACGCACAAACACACACACACACACACACACACGCACATGCACAGAAAAGGTAATTTTCTTCACCCAGTTATTATTCACTGGACACTTAAGAAAGTTTCTACCTTTTGGTTATTAGGAATGATGCAATGCATGCAGAAATGTATTATCTTTTTGAAATTCTGATTTTTTAAATACATACTTAGAAGTAGGACTGCTGGGGACCAGGGATTTAGATAACTGGTAACACACCTTGCCTCTCAAGTACAAAAAGAAGTAGGACTGCTGGATTACACAGTAAAATTTTTAATTTTCAGAGACAACTTCATACTGTTTTCCATAGCAGCTATATCATTTTACATTCCCCCAATAAATTCACAAGTGTTCCAATTTCTCCACATCTGTTTTAGTCAGCTATTATCACTGTGACAAAATACTTGCAACTTCTGAAGAGGAAAAGTTTACTTTGGCTCACAGTTTCAGAGGTTTCAGTGCATGGTCACTTGTATTCACTGCTTTGTGTTTGTGGCAGCACACTAGATCATGATGGGCACACATGGCAAGGAAATCTGTGCATAGCAGGACAGACAGAATGCAAAGTGAAAGAGGAGCGGTGGGAATTCCAATATCCCCTCCAAGGGCACATTCCCAATGACCTAAATCCCTTCCACTAAGGCCCCAAATCCTAAAGGTTCCACAACCTTGTAACGGTGCCAAAGCCTTTAGCATGGATCTCTGGAGAACTTTCAAGATCTAAACCATAACAACTACCTTATCAGCACATTTTGTTCATTTATTTTTTTTAATAATGGCTTTCTTAATAGCTGTGAGATGATCTAATCGAAGTTTTAATTTGCATGTGATGATTAGTTAACATTAAACATCTTTTTAGATACCTGTTAACCATCTGTATATGTCTTCTAAGATATGTCTATTTAAGCCTTTTACCACTCTTTAGTCAAGTAATTGATATGCTATTAAGTTATCTGAGTCTTTTTATATTTTAGGTATTAACCCTTATCAGGTATATAGTTTTCAAAATTTTTCTATTTCCTAAGTTGCATTTTCACTTACTTATTTCCTTTGCTTTACAATAAAAACCATTTTAGCTTGATGTAATACCATTTTAGCTACTTGTTTATTTTTGTTCATTTGCTGTGCTTTATGACCTCATATCCAAGAAACCACCGTGAAGACCACTTTTATTATTCTTTCTCTTATATTTTCTTCTAGCAATCTTACAGTTTCAAGTCTAATGTTTAAGTCATTACCCATTGAGAGTTTGGTTTTGTGTATGATTTAAGACAGGGGTCAAAATTCTTAATTTTAATGAGCCAAATTTATCATTTTTTCCACTGTGCAATCTTTCCCTACTCAAAGATTCAAGAGATACTTATTTATATTTCTTCTCTAAAATTTTAGTTTTGACAAATATTAGCAAATTTAAGTGTTTAATATATGTAGAATTATTTTCTTCATATTTTTTCTGAATTGGTAAATACTTTTACATATATATATGGGATATACTGTGATATATCCATATAAGCACACAATGGGTAATGAGCAGATAGGGATAATTAAAATATCTATCAATTTAAGCACTTACTGTTTGTTTTGTGTATGTCCTGGGAATATTCACAATTCTATCTACTAGCTATTTTGAAATATATAATTAATTAGAGAATCAAGATGATAGAATGATGAGCAGCAGAAAAATTCACCCTCTCTGAGATCTGGAATTCAAACACAGGAAAATAACAAACTGGGAAAGAAAAAAGAGAAGTACACCTTCAGAAATTTGGAAGCAAGCTGTGAGTATGGTGTTATTTTGCATTTTCCTGAGAAATAATGTTATTATGTATCTTTTCAATAAGAAAATAATCCAATTGTTAATTAGCAATAGATATGAATATTTTATGAAAAGAATTATTCAGATGATAAGTATATGAAAAGGTGCTCAATGTCACTAATCATGGAGATCAAACTAAACCACAATGAGATACCTGTACACATATATTAGAATGACTTATACTTGATCTTAGCTAAAAGACCAGAATGCAATTAGAATCACTTAATACAAGTTTGGGCAACTCCAAGTATTGCCAAAAATACAAAACATCTATAATTTTCATAAACTCCTGATAGGAAGCGTGAACACTTTGGAAAAGATTTTAATTTCTTATATGTGCCTAAGGTTTACCATGTAAGGACATACATGGCAGATAAATAACAGTCAGGTTTCTTGCTATCACAGAAAGACACAAATAAGGAAAAGAGGAAGGCCAGAATAAATCCTGTCACATGCCACCGGATTTAAATAAAAGTCTCACTATGAACTCACAGCTTGCTTTTTTGGGGAAGGGGTACCAGAGATTGAACTCGGGACCTTGAGCTTACGAGGCAGGCGGCAGTACCACTGAGCTAAATTCCCATCCCACAGCTTTTTTAAAAAAAAAATTTTGTGGCACTGGGGGATTGAATCTCAGCCCTTCTTATTTTGAGACACAGGGTCTTAGGCAACCCTTTAAATTGACAATCCTCCTGCGTTAGCCTGCCAAGCCAGTGGGATTGCAGGTGTGTATTGAGTGCCAACTGAACTCATAGCTTTCAAATAAATATAGATAGGTAGAAACAGATACAAAATATAGATGCATGTAAATACCTGAACTACACACATATGTATATGTGCATATTTATTTAAGAGCTGTCTGCTGAAAAGGCATAGAGGCAAGATGCCCCAGCAGTAACACACCTACATACTGCCTGAAAAATGACTTTCTTTAATAAAAGGAACCACAGCTCCTTGGAGAAATGGTTTTTGCAAGGTGTAGCACAGGAAGAATAAAAGTTAAGGAGTGCGTGAGAGTGACGGAGGCCTGGTACTGGCGGCAGAACAGAGACCAGGCAGTGTATTGTCACTGTTACTCTGTGTCCCTTGCGTGAGCCACAGTGGTAGGTAGAGCTGGTGGCAGAGGACTGAGAGAGCTTCACTGAGTCCCTGTTACCAGCTGCCGGGCATGGCAAGTTGCAGCAGGGAGCTGGTTGAGGAGGATGATCAGGAACACAAGGCGGGCCACCACTGCCTCAAACAACCTGAGGGCAGAGCCAGGCACACAGGTGCTGCCCCCTTCTTTCTGCTCTACCCAGGTGATGAAGGCGTGGACTTTGCAGCTCAACCACCACCACAGCCCCAGCATTCCCACAAGATGCTGTTATGGCCAGGCTCCCCACTGCCCTTCCTGTTGCTGAGCTAGACTGGGAGTGGCAGCAACAGCTAGCACCATCCTAATTATGTCACGTCTAACTTACAAACTTGATGAACATGGCTGAGCTAAAGACCAAAGGCTTGACTGAATCAGCTGTGAAGCTGGGGAGGACTCCAGACTATATGTCCCTCCAATAATTCTTCCTGCTGATGGAACACTGAACATGTCAAGAAATCTTTTTTGGGACAAAATAAATCCTTTTCTGGGGGGCCTCTAGAATAGATAGAAAAACTTATATCAGAAGGAGCAGACATAACAGCAAGTGTTAAAAGATCTCCCAGGACTGAAGACACCAGTAGGCAGAGGAAGAGCCTGGCTTCCCTGGCAATAATACAAAGAAACTTTCAGAATATATGAAAGCTTTGATCAATAAAAAGGAACTTCTCGGTGAATTCTATGAACCAAGCCAGTTGATAGGTCTGAATGTCATTAATGCTAATTTCTGTATGAAAGGAGAAGATCTGAACTTTTCCGTGCATCTCAAGGATGGAAACATCAGTAACTATAGTTAGAGGGATGGTCAGATTACTGCAATTCGGGACCAGAAGAACTATGTAGAAGAACTCAACAGATATCTGAATGCTACTGTAAGTAATCTTCAGGCAAAAGTAGATGCATTAGAAAATTCCAACACAAAACTGATAGAGGAGCTTGCACTTGTAAACAGGATTATTACCTTGCAAGAAGAAATGGAATCCAATTGGAAGGGTCCTAAGAAAGGCAGAACTGAGGAAGAACAAGTGGTAACTAAAGCACTAAAGCATTTCAAGGACAAGACATAACTGTAACTGACGTTGAAAAAGAACTGGAAACACAGATCAGCATGAGGTAGAAAATGGAATTGGCTGGGCCAGGGATTTAGCTCAGTGGTGCCGATGCCTGCCTTGCAAGCACAAGGTCCTGAGTTTGATCCCCAGTACCAAACAAACAAAAAACCCCACAGAAAATGGAATTGGCTAAGAAGATGCTGGAGAAGGAAGTCTGTGAGAAGCAGGAGGCCCTGGTGTCTCTGAGGAAGCATCTGGATGATCCCAGGGCCCTCAAGCATGGACTTGCTTTTAAGCTGCAGAGTTCAAACTTAGGAATAAAAGAGAAAGGTGAACGAAGCACTCCTTGGAAGAGAAACTAATCAGATGGCTGCCTCTATTAAACAACTGGAGCAAAGACTGTGTCAGGCTGAGCGAGCCCATCAGGCTGCTACAGTGGACAACCTGCTCTTCTAACAGGACTCCAGGGACAAGATCAACAGTCTGCAGCTGGAAGTGGAGGAACTCATTAGGCAGTTTGAGTTAGAACTAAACAGGAAAAAGCAGGTTAGAAAACAACCAGCAGCATGCTAGGAAAGGTTCCCTGAATCCAGAACCCAAAGTAAACGGAAACATGAAGCCCCTGGAAGAAAACCACAGGCTGTAGTTTCACATAAACATGAACAGGATCAATTGCTGCTCTGTGAAAAGCCACAGGTGTGTGAGCTGTGCCAGGAAGATGGCAGCCTGACAAAGAAATACAAGAACTGCTTCTGTAATGGCTGTTCACAAATGATCTGTCTCTACCTTCAAGCCTGAATGAGTTTGCAATCTCTGTCACGAACAGCTGATGAATCAAAAATTCATGAGTCCCTCCTAAGACTCAAGACCAAGACCTGGACCAGAACATCAGGATCCCCTAAGGGCCCCCAGTCCTTAGAATCAACTGGAGAGTTGACAGGAATGATTTTAAGTAAACCATGTCCAGACAGAAAAGACAGTTTTTGTTTGGAGGGGGGGCTAGAAATTCTGCTCATTCCCCCTAATGACCATGTAAGTAAAAGGTACTTGTTGAGCCTTTCTTTTCTGTATCACAAATCACACCACCAGAAGGGTTTATTTTATGGCATTATCTTGAAAGGGCTACTTGTTTTTAAGAATAGTGATGATAATTTTTGAGTTGATATAATGTGAGAGTCCAACCAGATAAGAACAAAAAGAAAAGGGCCAGAGATGTAGCTTAATGGTAGAGCACTTGTGTAGCAGGTAGGAGACCCTGGGTACTCTCCCCCTGCACCACAGTGGGAGGGAAGAGGATGAAAAAAAAAATCATGTCTCTCAATTGCATTTGGAGCGGGAGAGCAGGGAAAGGTAAAAGGTGAGATCAAAATCACAGATACTGCCTGTTTTCCCAGGTGTTGGTAGACATAAACATTGGGGGAAAGGTAAAAGGTGAGATCAAAATCACAGATGCTGCCTATTTTCCCAGGTGCTGGTAGACAGTGTTTCCTCTTCATTCCTACTGACTGCCTCTTCTTTAAAGTACCTCTACCAAACTGTGAAACCAAACTCTGGGAAAAGATAATAATATACAACTGAATGTACTGCAAATACTGTATTATAATACCAGGACTGACTAGAATTTTCTTCTCTTGTCTTACAAATGTTTTC